TCGGCCTGCTCGCAACGGCGCGTTCGCTTGCGCGCCGAACGCGACAGCCCCCCTTGATAGGGAGGTTCGGGGGTGGAAACCCTATACCCTAGATGGCTCCGCAGCGGATGGTCTGGGGCGGGAGTGCAAGTTCGGAGCGCGCGCGGCCTGGGCAGCGACCCCCCCGGCACTCTCGGCGAGGGGGGGTCGCGCCAAGCGCGCGCTTCCTCCAATGCAAGCCCTATGCCTTAAATTCGGAATCGCACCGCCGTGCATCTACCCACCCGCCGCGCGTCCTTGACGCCGTCCACGAAGGGCAAAGGCATCTCTGAGATGCTTCAGTAGGTAGCCGGAGTGGTTCGCCTCGGCAGCCATGCGCTGCCCCCCCCCACTTCGGGGGGCCGCGACTCAACGATGACCCCCCCCCTGCAGTTCGCGCCAAAGCAAACGCCTTAAACCCCGCGACAACGACCTCGAACAGCCGCCCCTGGCATCTCTGACCCGTAGAAACACGCGCGGGGCGCTCTCGGCGCTCCTGGGCGCTCCTGGGGGTGCTCAGGGGCGCGCGGGGGCGCGTCGGAAGCTCTGGGGCGGCGAATGAAAATGCCGGGGGGGGGGGGGGGGGGGGGCGCCGGGGGGCGCCGGGGAATGCCCGAGGGCCATGGGCGCGCTCGGGGGCGCTTGAGAGCGCCTGCGAGCGCTGGGGGATCGCCCGGAAGCGCCTGCAGGCGCCGCCTGGGAGCGCGCGAGTGGGAACTGAGGGTCTCCCCCAAACCCTAAGAAGCTTTATATGGGGAGATCGCTGGCCTCGCGGCCGGGAGTGGACAAATGATGCAAATCTTGGCCCTTCGGCGAGCGCGATCGGGTCGGCTAGACCGCCCCCGATCACGCTCGCCGAGAGAGGGGCAGCATTGCCATGGACAGTCGGCCGCTGCGCGCAGAGAATCCCTACACCCTAAAAACTAAGAGCCTATAAAAATTTAAATCCTGAAATCCCCTGGGCGTTCCTGAAGTCCCCCCTTCGGCCGCCCCCCCCCCCCCCCCATTTTGGCGCACCCCTCACGGAGATCCTTGCCCTCGGAGCGCCAGGAATGGCGTTCTGGGAGGATCTGCAAATCCCAGGGCGCGCCCCTCACGCAGATCCTTGGCCTCGGAGCGCCAGGAATGGCGTTCTGGCCCCATCCGCAAATCCCAGGACGCACCCCTCAGAGCCTTGCCCTCGGAGCGCCAGGAATGGCGTTCTGGGGGGATCTGCAAATTCCCAGAGTACCGGGGGTGGCGTTCTGGGAGAGCCTGCGAAAATGCAGGGTACTCCCCTCGCCCAGACTCGCGGCAGACGTTCATGGCCTCGGTATGCCAGGCATGGCGCCAGCACTGTCCTTCGCGAAAGGCACGGGCGCGACCTCGACCCTCTCGGGTTGAGAGCCGCCCCCGCGCCCTTCCCCAGGGGCCGCCCCGTGGAGGCTGGCACGCAACATCGACAGGCGCGTCGGTCCTGCGTCGCACAGGGACTCGCGTCAATAAACGTGGATCTTGCGCGCAACCTCTCCGCCGCTGGGCGGCGTCCCTGCGTCGCGCAGGGACTCGCGTCAAAAAACGTGGTTCTTCAAATCGCGTCGTCGCGCGCGCGGGCAGCATCGCCGTTGCAGCCGCGTCCCAGGTGTCTTTGCGCGGCCGCGTCGTCGTCGTTTTGAAAACAATATCAACGTCGTCGTCATCGGTGTCGTCCTCGTCGTCGTTTTGCGAGTCGCGTGTTGATACCGCATCGAGATCAATATGTCTTGGGTCAGACACGGTCAAGTGGGCTGCAAGTTTGGGCTAGTGGACCCTCAACCCTAAACCGCAAAGTGACGCGCGACCCCGCTGGGTCGCACCGTCGACCTCGAACGCTATCGGCGGCAAGTGGCGAGCGCTAGTCGAGCTGGCGGGTGGACCTCAGGCCGACGCCAGTGCCGCGCTCCGCCAAATAGAAGACCCCTAACTTGGCATCCTGTTGCTCACGTCGGCACTCTTGCTCGCCGCCAAAATATAAACGTTCCTCCAGAACTGCTGAGCGCTCGGGAGTGCCTGTGGGCGCCTGGGAATGCCTGGGAATGCTTTGGGGGCGCCCGGGAAGGACTGGGAGCGCGGGGCGACCTTGGGGCGCCTGGGAGCGCCTGGGGAGCGCCCGGGTGCGCCGAGAAACGTTTGGAAGCGCCGGGGAGCGCCTGGGAACGCCTCGGAGCGCATGGGGCTCGGGAGCGCCTGGGAGCGCCTGGGCGCGCCTGGGAACGCCATGGAACGCCCGGGATCGCCGGGGGGCGCCTGGGAACGCCAGGGGCCGCCCGGGAGCGCCTGGGCGCGCCTGGGGGCGCTCGGCAGCGCTTGGAAGCGCACGGGGCCCGGAAACGCCTGCGAGCGCCAGGGGGCGCTTCGGAGCGCCTGGGAGCTGTCCGCCTCCGTAGCGAAGCGGAGCCCCAGCTTGCCTCGGGCTCCAAAACAGGAAAAGGGGGGGCGGCTTCGAACCCCCCCCCCCTTTCCAGCACCAAACAAGGAAGGGGGAAGGGGGGGCTCCCGAAGCCCCCCCCTCGGCAAAGGGGGGCCCAGGCTTGCCTCGGGCTTGAAGCTGGGAAGCTGGGCCCCCTTTTTGCCTTGCAGCGCGCTGCGCGCAATCTTGTTCGACAGTTGTGACCGTGCAGTCTTTGGCAGTGTGAGAATACAGAGCAGGAGTTTCTCGCGCGTAAAAATGCGGAGCTTGCCGCGAGGAGTTCGGCGCCGCAGCTGACTCGTCCGAGCGCTTCTTTTAGCCTGATTTTTTGCGCCCCGCACCTCGCGTTGATATCAGGGTGCGCGGTCGCCGCCTCGCGCGCCAGTCCGGCGAAGCCACGCGGCAAGAGCGCCGCCGCCTCGCCCGCAGAGCCGCCGAAAAACAGCGCGCATGCAGCAGCAGGGAGAGGGGGGGAACACATCGGAGACGAAGAGGAGGAAGAGGAAGTCGCAGAGGTCAGCAAGAGGCCACAAAAGGTCAGCAACAGCGTCAGAGACAAGCCGCTATCCCAAAAAATAAGGATGTGGACTCTCTAGCACGTAACCGCACGGCTGCTCTGATATGAAGGAGAGGAAGGCTCGCCCAGAAAAGAAAGTGGCACGCCCCGCGTGCCAAACACTTGTAGCGACTCTCGCCACCATCGGGAGCGACTTGTTCAAGGACGCGTCCGGAATGGCAATGGCGGGCGCCATCGCGTGCGAGCGCCTGCTGCTGACGACGCCCAGATCTTGTCCCCTGTAGCTCGAAGGGGCCCAGAGAGAGCGCGGCAGTGCTGACATTCGACCGCCGAGGTCAGGCAGCAAAGGCTCGCCGTCCGTTGTCGCTCTTGGGCAGCGTCTTGCCCCCGCGAGGATTCGATCAGGGAGCCCGAGGAAACCGTGGGGGATCAGCTCTCGGAGCCCAGGTCAACCCGATTGAGTTTCTGATTGCGCGCCTGCACGCGAAATGCACTCGGGCGAACGTGGGGCATATTGTAGTTGAGCGCTTGCGCAGCGGGGGCGCCGATGTCAAAGGTCGATCGCGCCCCCTGGAGCAGGGCGCCCAGGGGAGCGGGAGGCGGGGCAGGCACGACACGCGGAGCTCAGGACCATCAACTATCCGGCCGTGCTCCCGCGCCGGGGCCCGAGGTCGGTCCTCTCAGCCTGCTGCGTGGGTGCTTGTGCGGTCTGACTGACTGACGGACTGACTCATGGCTGATGAAGGTGACCCCGAAGCCATGCACTCCTGTCCTGCCCTCGTCGCCGCGGATGGGGGCTGTTGCGTTACGCCTCTCCTCTTCCATGGCTGCCCTCGTCGTCTTCTTGTTGTTCCGCCGCTTCCTGGCAGAGTGAAGAACTCAAAACCTTCAACATAGCATTTAGCAACATGTTTGCAAGGTTGAACGGACCCAGTCAGAGCCACACGGTCTTCCCAATTGCCCCTTCCGACGGCCTGATGGGCGTGAGAGCTGTGCTATGCTCCTCCTCCCCCTTCTCATCATTCCCTGGTATCTCTTCTCCTCCTGCCCAATCTTCACATGTAGACCCTCTGATTTGTTTCACCAGCGCTACGCTGCCCACAGTCAAGCGAGCGACACATTGAACGGCTCTATATGCACGTGAGCCAAATGTAGGGTGCTCACATGTCGCGATATTGCTCCATGCTGCGGCGGCACGACTCGATTTTGCCTTATACTCGAGCGTGACGATGAGTCCTCGGAAGAGACACGGAAGAATAGGAGAACGATGGACGGAAGACAGATGTCAACAATGACAGCATCCTACCAGCCTGGTCACAGCCCTTCCTGCGGCAGCAACAGCAGGTGTGCCCCCCCCAAATTGCAAAATCTTGCCCTACAGCCTTCCCGCCCACCCTCCCGAATCCCTTGTCCTCGTTTTCCAACGAGATGGGAGACGGAGTGAGGGGGGTAGAGGGAAAGAGAGAGAGAGAGAGAAAGAGAGCGAGCGAACGAGGAACAACTGTGTACATATATACATAAACCTATTTTTACATACGTGTATACACATAGAATAATATAGCTACAGAAGCTTTAAAACATGCTCCTGCTTCTGCTGTTGCCGCTCGTCCTCCTGCTCCTCCGCCTCTCTTTACTTCCTTCTCGCACTCATCCTCTTCATATTCGCTATCTTCCTTGCCGTCGTCCTCCTCCGTGCGCTTCTCTGCTTCTTCCACCCCTTTTCTTACGCGGATCCCTCCTCGTCGCTCTCACGTCCCTCATCCTTCTGCTGCAGCTCCACTTCGTTCTCGTCGCTACCACCCGCATTCAGTGCGGCGAAGAGGAGCAGCGAGGGGGGTCGAGCCCCTCCCTCTCCTCCTCCTCCTCCTCCTCCTCCTCCTCCTTCCTCCTCCTCCTCCTCCTGCTCCTCCTCCTCCTCCTGCTCCTCCACTTCGTTCTCGTCGGCCTCCTGCCATCACCGCAGTCGTCGCCATCATCCTCGCAGGGCGCTCCGGGGCTGGCCCCCGCCGGCCGGCGCTGCCCTCTGAGGCGGCGGGC